CTTCTCCTTAACCCGTGGCAACCAGCAACTTGTTCCCAATTTCTGTAATTTTGTCCATTCCAGCATATTCTATAAATGGAATTCTATAGTATGGAAACTTTTGGGATTGCAATAGTAAAAATGATGTTTGCATTTTATGTGTATTTTTATTTGATTTTTCTAATTTATTTTAATTGCATTTGACAAAAAGATCGGTCCACAAAAGATTTGGGAGGAAAGCATCATTTCCCTTTTAATCATGAATAATTTGAAAAGGACAGCCATGCTGCAGTAGTAGCATGTGAAAAGTGATAAACGAGGGTGTTTGGAAGAGACGAAGCAGCCTAAGAGCAGATAAATGTGCCTGAATGGTCAGGCTGGGTTCTCAATTATTTATTAGCCATGAGGAGCAAGTAAGGGTTTCTGCACCTCCTACGGCTTCCTTTAAGTTGCCTTCCTCCTGCACAGTTGCTGCTGGAGGTGCTCCCTGGAGGCTGTGTTCATCGACAACACTGCCGGAGGCAGCTCACACTGAGAGTGACAATCTTAATAGCAACACTCCAGAAATGCTCCCAGCAGCAGCTATTACAGGGTGCTTCATCTAACTGGATTCCTCACCCTTCAGCTCTCTTCTCCCCTGACTTCCACAATGTCAGTTTCCCTTGTTCTTTTCCTGTATCTCTGATACACTCTTCCTATTCTCTAAGGCTTACATGTCCTGTCTCTGAAGTTACATCCATCTAACCAACTGGTTATAAATTTGTTATTGGTCATGGGTTGCATTAAAAATTTGAGAAAAATAGTATACAAACACCCTCCCCTTGTAAAATGCCCATGAACCCATGCCCTTAATATTTGACTTTATGTGAGTCTACTATATATTCAAATTAAATTTCTAATTTTTGTTTTTAGTGAACAAAGCACCATATAATATTAAACCAGGATGAAAATCACCTTTGGATCAGTGAAAGTAACATCATCCTTACAGGGATAAAACATTATATAGAAATCTCTGAGGAAAGTCATTCTGCCCAAACTAAATGGGAAGACAGAGGTTGCTGATTTTCCAATGAAAAAAAGTAAGGTCATGTATTTTTTAGGTAGTAGTAGAAATGCTGCTTTATCCCTGGGATGATCATAAAGAAGATATGACTCCTGAGATGGAAATTGCTAGAATCAACCTTGTCTAGCCCTTTTGCAGCCAGCTCCTACCTTGAGAAGAACACATGAACTAAAATCATTGTGGGGTAAGTACCACATCCATCAGATGCCAAGCATGGCACAACACTGAGGAAGTAGAATTATCCTTCTGTGCAGAAATGCTACAGGTCTTGCTGGGATTTACACACAAATAAGTCACCATCTCAGTGACAAAGCTTTGGCTATGTAGGAACTATCTTTAGGTGTGATTCCATGCGTCACAAGGAATACTGGCAGAAAGGGTATGACATGTCGTTCTGTACCTGTCTGGCATGCAGGAGCTGTGTACCATAAACATCTGAGGATTTTGTGAAAAAAATTTGAGGTGAGAAGAAAGGGGCAGATACAAGGAGAGACTCTGGACTGATTTCCACTGACGGACTCAAGGAGATCAAAAGGAGTTTTAGAAAAATAAAATGGATATGACTACTCATGTATCAAGGTTTTTAGCCTCTACTAGCTATAAATAAATCATTAAAATATACATACAAAGAATGAACTAAACAAAGACTTATTTTTCTCCTGATAGTATGTTTAAATGGAAAATTAATAACCTGTTGATGAAAAAAATCCCAGAAGGTCAAAATGACAAACAAAAATTAAAATTTAATGTTGCTCATAATTATTGCAATGAGATTATATTTATTTGATCTGAATAAAGAATTGAAGGGCAATATGCAGATCATCTTTTTGTTTAGTATGATTGGAAAAACCTTCCTCATTTTCATCAACACTGCTGAAAACACTGGTTTACACACATATTGGGGAGCAAATGTGATCAGAGAAAGCTCTCTCAGTTCACTTCACAGTGTAAATTTGGCACTATTTCTAAAATTCAGCAAGACTCCACATTGAAGCCATATTGTGTTAAGTTGCCATGTAGTTCTTTGCCCTCAGATCAATGGTGAGGCCACTTTTGGCAAGACTTGTCTCTTTTCTGTGTT